CTTGTAGGCATTGCATTACAATCTCTGCTATGAGTCCTGACAGTGGTGATCCCATGGGTGTGCCTCTGACTTGTTGGTATATTTGTCCATCAAACTGTTGGTAAATATCTGACAGAGATTAATATTTCTCCTAATCTTAGCCTGAGTAGCTCTTCTGAGAGAGTTTTATACCACTCTTTATTTAAAGATGGCCTCTTTCCTCCTTTTTAGCTCATCAGGTGCTTCCAGATGTGACTCGCCTTCTAGCCCTCCAGGCTCCAGGCTCTAGCAACTATGGCGACATTATGACATCAGCTTGCTATGCTCTGAGGAACCTAATCATGTCTAACCCACAGATGGCCAAGCCCTATTTGACTGGCAGTTTGATAAATAATGTAGTAGGCCTATGCCGAAATGGGTGAGTAATGATATAGAACGGGGGCACATAACATTGATACTATGCAATGTTGTCATATGGTGTTACTTAGAAGCATTTTACACTTATTGTATGATTTTTGTCTACATAACATATCCATTTCAAGGGCATACCATAATAATAAGTACTAGGTATTCTACACACTGCAGGACTGGCTGAAGCAGCCTTGTCTGTACCGTCTTCCCACAATACCTCTTCTAGGATTCAAAGATGAAGTAGACTGTGATCAAGAGAGCTGAGATTCTCAAACATTGCATGGAATTAAGCACCTCCCATAATCCAGGCTTCACTGACAGAAGGTGATTCCACCAAAATTTTAGAGAGATATCCCCCTGCCCCACATACAGATGGTAGCCTACTCCATTCAAGTCTTTGTGCAGGGACATTCATAACTGCCAGCTAATTACACATACCTCAGTGAAGATCTATCTTTTCTTTTTCATTTATAGAGTTGACCAGAACGTACCATAACAGGATATGCTCTTGAAAACATTAATCCCTGAAGAAATAGAATGGACATTAACAAATTTGGGGATTATTTTATTAATTTTCCAGAGCCACTGATCAAGTTCAAAAATGTGTGACTCACTATTATTTGCTCTGATATTTTTATTACAGATCTTATCCAAAAGCAGCTGAAGCAGCTCGACTGCTGCTATCTGACCTCTGGTCAAACAGGGAACTCCAATCTACGCTAAAGCAGGTAAAATATCAAGGCAGCATCTTTCCCCACTTCCTATAAAACAATCTAGCATATGGATAATACCAATAAATGAGGTTACTAACCACAATAAATGGGGTTACTAAGCTTGTGGTGTGCATTGTGTGAAACAGTATAGGGTTGATTATAAGAGTGTTTTTGAAAGCAGAAGAACTGGGATTTTTAAAGTTCAGAATTATAACATTTCTTTTAAGATGTCAAGATGTAATGCACCCACAAAATTCTCCATTCATATGTACAATATATTGAATGGTAGTAAGTGCAACACATTTTCTAAAGACTTGAGAATTTAGCTCCTTTGTCTGGAGATTTAATGGGAGGGGAGGAGGGGAGGAAAGAAGATGGGTAGGTAGGCAGGTCGTTTTCATTTACAGGTCCATGAATAAATAACTGCTTCAGAATCCATGTAGTCTTATCTCCATGGGAAAAGACAAATAAAAAAATTAACAAACTCCAGTTACAAAAGTAAAATATAGTAAATTAAAGAAAATAATTGCAGAAGTAGAGTTCTTTGATGTATTTTGAAATTTCACAAACTGCTAGAGTATTTATATATGATCTGTGCAATATAGTGGCTGTAAAGTCTTTGGTTCAAATCTCATGTTTTCTGTGAATGTAACAAGTGACTTGAAAAGTATCTATGGAGAACCCTTTGAAATGTACCACACTAAAGGTGCATTCACATATTTGACTCCTTTTAAGTATGTTAAAGAAAAATTCTTCTTTTCCTGATCTTATCTGTTCCCTGCCTTCCTTCCTACCATTCTGCAGCAAGGATATGATAAGAATATGATGGGATCTTTAACAGGAAGCACTTTCAGGACTCTGACTTCCAGATTCTAAGAAGAGACTTTGCATGTTGGGATTGCAGGTAAATAATTACATCTGCTTTTTCAAAATGAGAAAAAAGTTTCATTTCCTACCATTCAAACCATAATTATAGCTAGATAAGAACAATTTCAAGTGCTGAATGTGGGGCTGCACTTTCTCTGAAAAGGTTCTGTTCTTAAATCTGGTCACTAGGATACTGACTGGTGCAGAGAGCTCTGGACTATGTACACCAGAGTTGCAGAATCTGGTGGCTGCAGGTTATCACCAGCATCCCTTTTGTGACTCCCAGAGTTCTTATAGTGAGTGGGCCCAAATTTGGGGAGATTTAAAAGTCAAAGGAGATACTCTAAGTCTTCCAATTGCTCAAGGCACCCATTTAATCCCTAAAAAATCCTGAAGCTGCTTCTCAAAATCCTCCCTGACATCTCTTGGCATGCCATGCAAAACCTGATGCAGCCCTTAAGCCATTGGAAGTTGCACACCCCTGATGTAGATGAATTTTGCATCAAGTTCATTGACTCCTATGTTGTTTCCAAATCTAATTAATGTCTCTTCCCCATAAAGCCCAAAATGATTTTCTTCTGGAATGGCCACCTGATCCCACACACTCCTATCTCTGTTAACCCCTTTCTAGGAGATCCTTCTTGGTGTTCATGTCTTAAGTGGCAGGACAAGGCCTCTCTTGCAGGAGAGTGGCACTAAACTCTGGCACTTCCTTTTCAAACACTTTTCAGAGGACTTTTTTTTCTCTCTTGTCTCTGTTGTCCTATTTAACATCTATACTAATTAGGGTTTTCCCCCCAAATATAATTCCATGTGGGAAAAAATGTACATTTTATATAGTTTTATATTAGCTGATAGCCCAAATTTATTGCTATTATTTGGAAACAAAATTAGTGGTAACCTTTACTGTTAATATTGCAGTGGTTGTTTACATATGTTTGTATTAATGAAGTAAGATGCAGTTACATTTTAAAAGTCAATCAAAGCACTACTGAGCTGCAGTTTAACTGCCAGAAGAAGAGAGGTGTGTGGCAATTTTTGGAGATCTTTAGGAAAGAAAGAAACTTGTAGTACAATTTTTCTAGAATTAAATCTCACAGATTTCAGTGTCTGCAATTTAAACACCCCCTTTGTGAGCAGATGCTAAACTAGAAAAAATGGCAAGGTTAAGTTAAGTAGAAAAAGAAAATGACAACAGATAAGAGAGATGGACAGATCAAAGGTATTACTCGAAAGTCCTTGGAAAAGTTAGAGATGATAAGCATTTGTCCATACAAGAGTCAAACATGACTTGATTGCTCGTAACTAAGGTAACTAAGAAGGAAACCAAGGAAAATAAAAAGAGTTTTAAGTTTGACTTAGTTCCACATCCAAAGACACATTACGTCTTTCTCAAACCTTTTAATAAGACATAGGCTATTGTGTTTCATTATTGTTTATTAATACTGATATAGCATCTTTCAGAAAAATTGTGTCAATTCGTTACATACATTTTCAATTTAAAGTGTAATATCTAAGTACAATATCTTGCTACTGCATATATATAAAAGGTGCAGAAATATATGACATCAGCTTTTTCGCAAACTATAATGAACAGTCAGAAAAGGATTGAAGCTTGTTGGCAGACAAAGCTATCACAGTTTCTATTGGCACAGTTTTCATAACTGTCTACATCTAACTACAAAACATATACAATACAATACAAAATACTTTAATGACCAAGTATAAAATATATACAAGGAATTTGTC